CCTAGACTTTTTAACAGGGGTATAAAGGGCTGTCGTGCAAACAGACCATATGATCTGAGGCTTCTTTTCCAGTCCTTGAATTCTCTGAAATCTATCATGAGATAGGCATTTAGAAGATTACCATGGGAAAATGACCAAATGAATTTCCTGTTTTCTGTTAAGGAACAACCAGAAATTGTTTCCTTGTTGGTAAGAAATGACAGGAGTGTTTCCTTCCTGCCTGGGGGAAAGGGGATAGGCTGGTTGTCACTACAGAAGGCCAATGCTGCCATTAGCACTGATGACCTAATTGGGTTGGTTTCGCTAAATCCAACTCTGGAGTCATAGCTACAGCTAGTCGACCTTCATTAATTCTGTCAGGTAATTCCTAGGACAAGACTCAAAAGAATTAAAGGGATACTGAAAAATTCTGAAAGAGCAGAAGAGGTTTTTTGAGATGAGAGAAGAGGCCGGGCGCGGTGGCTCAGGCCTGTAATCCCAGCACTTTGGGAGGCCAAGGCGGGCAGATCATGAGGTCAGAAGTTTGAGACCAGTGTGGCCAATATAGTGAAACCCCGTCTCTAGCAAAAATACAAAAGATTAGCTGGGCGTGGTGGTGTGCACCTGTAATCCCAGCTACTCAGGAGGCTGAGGCAGGAGACTCGTGTGAACCCGGGAGGCAGAGGTTGCAGTGAGCTGAGATCCTGCCACTGCACTCCAGCCCTGGTGACAGTGTGAGACTCCATCTCAAAAAAAAAAAAAATATTTGAGATGAGAGAAAAGAAAACCAGGTGAAGATAGCTCCCTTTGATTCCATACCATAGTATCAGGAGGTTTTGCCAAAGGATCACTCACAGAAATAACTACTGAGGTGCTAAACTTTCAAGATCTTATCCAAGAAGTGACATCTGAAAGCAAGTCAAAAAATCACATTTAGATATTGGTTCCCATACAGTTAAATAAAGTGTACTTACTGAATTACTTTATTTAACTCTCAAGTACAAAATCCCTTTGCAGACCTTAATAAAAGACCAAATGAGAAATGAAGTATTTGTGTTCATTGCAAATTATTTTGGTCTTGGGAATCCTTTTGAAATGCCCATGTGAGTCAGCAAATAGTGGGAGGTGGAAAAAAAAGAGTGTGGTCTCCCACTCACAGCTAATTCTGGCTCTGGTAATCAGAGAAACACAAGAGGCAGCCAAGTATGGACTGGCAGCTCCAACTGGCTTGTTTTGTTATTTTGTCTTTTACTCAGTAGTCAGCCTTCCTTTGGCATTCATTGGAGTGTGACTTAACACTGTGCCCAATGGGTTCCGAGTATAATAATTCTTCATCAAAACATCAAGCCAGGAGTCTGGTTGAGAGGGAGGGTCTATCACATGGCTGAAAATGATTTGGAACAGGCAAGCCCAAAATTGGGGCTTAGCCTGGGAGGGTTCTTGGCTTCACCTGGGAAAGAACTGTGAAAGAAAAATAAATCTTGAGACCCCAAAATCACTAAGCTAAAGGGAAAAGTCAAGCTGGAAACTGCTTATGTCAAACCTGCCTCCCATTCTATTCCATGTCACCCTTCTGTTCAATGAGATAAATGCATATCTGATTGCCTCCTTTGGAGAGGCTAATCAGAAACTCAAAATAATGCAACCATTTGTCTCTTTCTTTTTTTAATTCTTATGCTTCACTTCCAGCTAACATTTGTCTCTTATCTACCTATGACCTGGAAGCCCCTCCCCTGTTCCAGTTGCCCTGCCTTTGCTTAGAGTTATCCCACCTTTCTGGACCAAACCAATGTTCATCTTACATATGATGATTGATGTCTCACGTCTCCCTGAAATGTATAAAAATCAAACTGCTCTGACCAGCTTGGGCACATGTTATCAGGACCTCCTGAAGCTGTATCACCTATTTATTGGCAAAATTAACTAAGATCTCTTTTAGATATTTGGGGTTCACAGAATTCAAGGGTGAGTGGTGGCATTAGAAAGCAAGGCTGCTCCATGGGCTGTGTGCCCAGATGAGCAGCTCAGAGGCAGTTCTGTACTCATGTCTATACCTACTTTTAATTGTATGCAAATTAAAGTGCAGTTTATGCAGAAATTTTTAGGATAGTGGTAACTTCTGGGTTGTCAGGGTTGTTGCCATGGCAATGGAAAACTGACATGGCACACTAGTGGGTGTGTCTTATGGAAAGCTGCTTCCACTAGGATCTGTTTTGTTGTTATTGTTGTTTTGTTTTGTTTTTGAGATGGAGTTTCGATCTTGTTGCTCAGGCTAGGGTGCAATGGCACAATCTCGACTCACCACAAGCTCCACCTTCTGGGTTCAAGTGATTCTCCTGCCTCAGCTTCCCAAGTAGCTGGGAATACAGGCATGCACCACCACGCCTGGCTAATTTTGTATTTTTAGTAGAGACAAGGTTTCTCCATGTTGGTCAAGCTGGTCTCAAACTCTTGACCTCAGGTGATCCACCTGCCTCAGCCTCCCAAAGTGCTGGGATTACAGGCGTGAGCCACCATGCCCAGCAGGACCTGTTTTAGCTAGTCCTTGGTTTGGTCCAGTGTCCAAGCCCTGCCTTCAGAGTCAAGTTCACCTCCTGCCTCACTCCCCACTCAGAGATTAGATACTCCTTAATCTTAAAGAGGCTGCAGAAGAGTGGAGGTCCATCTTCTGTAACTGCTTCCTATTGAGTTTATGGGCAGTAGGCCCTGCCTAGCACCAGAGGAGTAAAAATCTCTGGATACCTGACCTAAGGGGCCCAAAGGCAGGATGCTTTCACTCTCCAGATCAGCAGACCAGATGGGTTGGAACTAGCTAGTCCTCAATTTGGTCCAGTGTCCAGTTACCCAACTCCTTTGGAGTTGAGTCCTACCTCCTCCCTCAAAAAGAAGGCACAAATCTCATTAGATGGGAAGGAAGCAAGAAGCATCTGCAGATAAAGGGAATGGAAGGGGACCACAGCTCTCCACTCAAAACCACATTACTTTATCGCCTGTGTTTGTCCTACCTCTGGGAATTATGTTTCTGACAGTAAAGCACAGGCTAGAGGGAGTAGCACATGCTGTATGAGGGTTGCCACTTTGGGTTCAGTGCCAGGAATTTCTCTCTCTCTCTTTCTCTGTGTGTGTGTGTGTGTGTGTGTATACAGATATATATGTATAACATATAACAAACATATATATAACATATAGAGAGAGAGACAGAGAGAGACAGAGTCTCACTCTGTCACCAGGCTGGAGTGCAGTGGTGTGATCTCAGCTCACTGCAACCTCTGACTCCTGGTTCAAGTGATTCTCCTGCCTCAGCCTCCTGAGTAGCTGGGATTACAGGCATGTGCCACCATGCCCAACTAATTTTTGTATTTTTAGTAGAGGCAGGGTTTTACCATTTTGGCCAGGATGGTCTCGATCTCCTGACCTCATGATCCACCCACCTCGGCCTCCCAAAGTGCTGGGATTACAGGTGTGAGCCACCGTGCCTGGCCATATATATATATATATATATATATTTTTTTTTTTAATAGCTATCCATATCTTTTAAGATCCAGAATTGATCAAAGGAGCAGAATTTTTACATTTTTCCATTTTAAATTTCGCTAGGAAGAATTTTGGTTAGATTTGACCAAGACTCTACTTTATAATAAGCTGCTTTTAAAGGAAAAAAAAATGAAAAGCCAGCCACTGATAAAGGCTATTCCTTGGAAGAAGGCATAACGTACTAATCCCATTTCTTCAAACTAAAATGAGTAAGACCAATGGGAAAATAGGGAGACAGGTTTCAATTCAATACAAGGAAGAACTTTTTAACACTTTTATCTGCATAAAAAAACATGTCACTCCCAGAAGACGCATGACAATGGAAATAGTTAAGCTTGAATGAGTTCTTTTTGGTTTTGTTTGTTTGAGACAGGGGCTCACTCCATCACCCAGGCTGGAGTGCAGTGGCATGATCATGGTTTGTTGCAAACTCGACCTCCCTGGGCTCAGATGATCATCCCACCTCAGCCTCCTGAGTGGCTGGGACCAAAAGCACATACCACCATGCTGGCTAATTTTTGTAATTTCTATAGAGACAAGGTTTCACCATGTTGCCCAGGTTGGTCTTGAACTCCTGAGTTCAAGTAAGCTGCCCGCCTTGGCCTCTCAAAGTGCTGGGATTACAGGCATGAGCCACCGTACCCTGCAAGATTGGATGACTTCTTATTAGGGAAACACACTATCAATGATTTCCAGCCATAGTATGTCTGAGGATCCTTAGCATCAAGAATTTTGGGCCAGGGGCAGTTACTCACTCCTGTAATCCCAGAACTTTGGGAGGCTGAGGTGGGTGGATAATGAGGTCAGAAGTTCAAGACCAGCCTAGCCAAGATGGTGAAGCCCCATCTCTACTAAAAATACAAAAATTAGCTGGATGTGGTGGCAAGTGCCTGTAATCCCAGCTACTTGGGAGGCTAAGGCAGAAGAATTGCTTGAACTGGAGGGCGGAGGTTGCAGTGAGCAGAGATCACGCCACCGCCCTCCAGCCTGGGCGACAGAGCGAGACTCTGTCTCAAAAAAAAAAAAAAAAAAAAAAGAATTTTGAGGCCTCTACCCCCCAGGGTAGTATTTGCACTCTTAGAATCTATTTAGAACCAGTACACCACAATAACTATATACTTAAAAATGATTAAAATAGTAAGTTTTATGTTATATTTTACCACAATAAAAAACATGATGACAGCCAGGTATGGTGGCTCATCCCTGTAATCCCAGCACTTTGGGAGGCCGAGGCGGGTGGATCACCTGAGGTCAGGAGTTTGAGACCAGCCTGACCAATATGGTAAAACCCTGTCCCTGTCTCTACTAAAAATACAAAAATTAGCCTGGCTGTGGTGGCATGCCTTTAGTCCCAGCTACTCAGGAGGCTGAGGCGGGAGAATCACTTGAACTTGGGAGGCAGAGATTGCAGTGAGCCAAGATGGCACCACTGCACTCCAGCCTAGGTAACAGAGGGAGACCCTGTCTCAAATAAACAAACAAATAACAAAATATGAATTTAGTGATGCTTTTTAAATAAATTTGAGTTTTATTTATTATAATAGCATTTGCAGATAGGAAAATCATGTTTATTATTCTTTTGATGCATTTACTGACTTACAGAATGCCTAATATGTAGCAGGAACTGAGATAGCACTGAAGACACAAAAGTAAAACCAGTGTGGCACCTGACCTCACAGAGCACAAATATATGCAAGACTTGCTATTTACTGAGTCTACGGACAGTGCTCACAGGTGATTGAAGCACCCTGTCTCTGATTCCTCAGAATTCAATCACTTCCTTCTTTAACCATCAAACTTCGGCTGAATACATTATAAACAAAAACACAGGTCAGGAGTAATACTTGGTTACCAGTGATGTGAAAACCCACAATGCTCTTCACAATAAAAGTCATTGATAGATGTTGATTTGTCACTCCAGGTCAGGACTTTTATGTCTATTGCTCAAAAAGAAAAAAGAAAAGCAGGCTTTTCAAAGTTCTTAGGATGGAATTTTTAGGGATCTCTAAAGCAAGACTATGAACTAATCATTTAAAATAAAGAGGCTTTGCTTTAATATCACACTCAATTTTGCTCTTGTAAAAGAATAGTCGGATAGTTAACAATTTACTTGCTATACTGGGTGCCTGCCAAGGTACTTGCCAGTTTTATTCTAAAATACGTCCTGCCGGGGGGACAAATGAGAGAGATTCTTCCATTTTGCATCTGTGTTTCACACCTGTGCTCTTAGCAAAGGAGTAGGGGGTGGAGAGAGGGAGGGTCTTTTATATTCAGCTGTACTATTTGACATCGGGAGAGCCCATGAATAATCACTCTTTGCCACTCAGCCTCCCAACTAGCAGGTTGCAATTATTTCCTACCTGGAGCGCTGCAGGGGGTGGGACAAGTGGAGACATTACTGGACATTTGCATTTAAAGAATTAATAAAAATTCCTCATCTGCCTGAAAGCCCCATGAAGTTTATAACCTTGACGCTTTGCAGCCCCCTGCACTGGTTTCTCTCCTGGCATGGCCCAATGAAGCAGCACCATAAATCTGTATTTTAAAGTATGTAATTAGTAATGTGCTACCGGACCGCATACTGGAGCTATGCAGTTCCCTTGACCACAGAACTTCACAAAAGGGAAACAAACAATACGAAACAATAAAAGGCATTCCCTTGGTGCCACGAACCTTGAGGTCACCCATATTAATGGCAGCTATTCCATGTGAACATTTCTTACTTCAAGCAAGCAATCTGTTGAGGACAAAAAGGTCGGAACTGCCTTTCTTTGGGCTGTCATAAAAGAACTGCTTAATTATTCTTGCCTAGAAATGGACATTACTGGGACTTCTGGGTGATGATTTTCAGGGTTTAGTTTGCACACCTAACTTTGGACTCTCTGAGACTGATCCTTACAGCAGTACCTGAGCCCAGTCAACTTTTAGGATTCTGCACCCTTCTAGCAACACAGAAAGAGGAGATTAGGGCTGTTACCAAGACCTCTAGACTCCTGAGAATGGGTCCTGCTGGAGGAAGGTGGGAAGCTCACCATCAACACCCCACAGGTGCAGGGAGGAGGTGGGAGCCCTGGAAAGGGAATACCTGTGGAAAATTCAATAATATTTCCTAGGCCAGGCTCACATCCGTAACCGCAGCACTTTGGGAGGCCAAGGTGGGTAGATCACCTGAGATCAGGAGTTCGAGACCAGCTTATCCAACATGGTGAAATCCTGTCTCTACTAAAAATACAAAAATCAGCCAGGCTTGGTAGCGGGTGCCTGTAATCGCAACTATTCTGGAGACTGAGGCAGGAGAATCTCTTGAACCTGAGAGGCAGAGGTTGCAGTGAGCTGAGACTGGGCCACTACACTCCAGCCTGGGCAACAGAGCGAGATTCCATCTCAAAAAAAAAATTTCCTGAGCTCAAGGAGAGAGAAGGAACCTGGCCCTGGGCTTGCCACTGAAGAACAACAATTAGGGCTCCACAGGCCTGACTGTCTTGTGTAACCTTAAAAAAGGAATTTCATGGAATGTAAATGGAATCCCAAACTAGTGAGGCCACTCAGGGATTTGGTAGAGACTCAAGCGCCCTCTAGAGGCGACGCTTCGGTGTCTGGTCATCGAGTTGTTTGAGGAGGTTGGAGGAGGGGTAGGCAGTAGGGTGGGTAGTTACCAAACACACAAACAGGAGAAGGTCCCCAAGACACAGCACCACTGGGAGCTGCCAAGCCCTGCTTAATAAGAGCAGTTCCCAAGAGCGGCAGTGTGTTCTCTTCCTGGTTGTCACCCTTAAGGGAAACTGCAATTAGTCTTTGCTGTCTAGGTAACATCTGGGGATAGAGTGGGGAAGAAGAGCAGTCTTGCTTTGTTTTGTTTTTTGAGACAGGGTCTCGCTCTGTCACTCAGGCTAGAGTGCAGTGGCACAATCACAACTCATTGACCACAGTGACCACATCTGTTGGTCTTAATAGCATTGCCTCTCCCTGCCTGGCCTCACCCCTGGATATCTCATCTTTCTGATAAACTCTGACTCACAAGATTCCAGTTATCCTCCTGATGTCTGCTTTAACTTGGGAGGATGGATTTATTTCAGCTGTTTGATCTTAGTTGGAAGAAAATAGTTTCCAGGCTGGGCATGGTGGCTCACTCCTGCAATCCCAGAACTTTGGAAGGTCGAGGTGGGTGGATCACCTAAGGTCAGGAGTTCGAGACCAGCCTGGCCAACATGGTAAAACCCTGTCTCTACTAAAAGTACAAAAATTAGCCAGCTGTGGTGGTGGGTGCCTGTAATCCCAGCTACTCGGGAGGCTGAGGCAGGAGAATTGCTTGAACCCGGGAAGTGGAGGTTGCAGTGAGCTGAGATCATGCTACTGACTCCAGCTGGGAGACAGAGCAAGAC